AAATACATTTCAAATCCTTTTATGCGTAGTATTTATTTTCATATAACATAAAGTGTATATAATATAATTTATTGCTATCATATGGAGTGTGTTAAAATCAAATTAAAATTATGCATTAAATAAATGTTTTTTTTTTAATTAGATGAAAAAACAAAAAATACGTTGTATTTTTGTCGTTTATCCTTAGTGAAACATGAGTGTGACATTGCAGGAAACCGTCTGATTAAAAAGTGCACTAAAAAAAACTAGGTAACATGTATTTATGAAAACTCTACGTGAAAGATTTTACTTGCATCTAACGATCGAGTGAAACAATTTACTTACAGTTGAAATATTTGTTCATTCCAGTTGGTTCAAATAAAACAATTTATCGAGTAAGAAATACTTTCTTTTTTGTATTTATAAAATAACGGGTGCCTATCGAGTTGCCGTAATATATATATATATATATATATATATTTTTTGTATTCAACTCCAATAAAATATTTGTAAACTGAAACTCAGAAACAATTTAATTGAATTTTTTTTAACTTATTTTATGATAGTTGCTGAAGTAAGATCCTTGATAACAATGCAGCGGCATTCGCGAGCGCTTTAAACTTTTGAAATAGTTGTAATATTTAGAGATAGTTGGGTTGAAAATAAAATTAGGTAGCATGTGAATTTCATGGCGAGGACATCGATATGCCTGCTAATTAAAAACCAATAATACCAATTACATAGTCGACTATTTAAGCCTTAGAAAGTTGTTAGAAAGATGCCGAGCACATATACTTACGGGCCCTTATCTTCTGCTTCGGCAGCCTCCAGCTCCGCCTTGAATATCTTGAGGTAAGTGATTAAGTCGTAGTCGACCTGCACTCTGCCAAATTTGAGCTCGAGCCAAGCATTTATCGTGGATTCCGACGCATTTCTTCCATTTTTTAAACTCTCGCGTCTCATTACATCCCTTGCTTCTGTAGAATTACGTGCATAAACATGACCAACTACTTTCTCTTCGGTGCATTTCGTTATAAGAATTACGGAGCAAACGGGATAGATTGTTCTTTACCACTTTAAAGACTTTATAATATTTCTAATTATTATGTAAGCTCATTATCGTCAAATTAAATTGGATTAAATTTTAGTAATTAGCCTATTATACAATTTGTCACAATACTTTCACACTTTACGAAGAAAGAACTTAAAAATTAAAAAAAATCCAATATTTTTTTTTATAAATTACGTTTACGATTATCTATTCTTAACTAAAATTTATTATATAAGTACAATAATATTTAATATATCTTGTATTGCTTGAAAAAACGTCACCTGTCATTGCCAATATATATATATTGTGTTTTATTAACCTATTAGTTATTATTGGTATTTTATAAATTGACAGATAAATTATTAGAATTATAAAATTTAATATAACCATCTATCATTAATGTTTGTTAAACAAAATTGCAGTACGAAAAACACGTAGCTCTATAAAATTTCCTTTCACAAACTACGAAGCACGTAAAAGGTGTAACACTGCTGACTGGATGCTTTATCAAAAGCGAATATCGCAGCTAAAAGTGTCTTCCTCTCGGTAAGATTTTATAACGCTATTTACAATACTTAACAATAGAACGGTAAATGTATTGTTACAATGTGCAATAAATATCACTTCGCTCGACATATTGCCCGACTGTCAACTTATTTAACGTACTTACAAGCGCGCACTAACCTTCGAAGACCAGTAGTTTGCTTTCATTGTAGTCTAAGTTTTCGGTAGTTTGAAGTTCGGCAAAATTAACCACGTAGATGGGCTCCAGTGGGCACATCTTAAGCCGGAAGAGCTCCTGAAGTACTGGGAAGCTGTAAAGGAGTGAGGCGCAAGGGAAGAAATCGTTCGATGGGGCGACGTAAGTTTGTTTCATCGACTTTTCCATCGGCAGTCTCTTTACATTGCCTTTTCCTACTATTTAGTCTTAGCTCTACACACTTGATTAGATAGCTTGAGTCGATCGAATCTCGGAAGAGATATTCTTTTTCTCTTTGATCGTCAGCGAGGAAAAGTTGCTGATTAGAGTTGAGAAAGCTTTGTTTGTACGTGGCATTAGCAACGTTTTGAATGGTATTACGCAATGAGGATTAACTTTCAAATCAAGTAGTTTTATTATAATTAAGACAAATGTTAAATTTCGTAATAAGTTTTGTAATAAAACGTAAAATTCTATAAAATGTATATTGAGATTAATCGAACCGATGAAAAGGTGTGTCGAGTGCAAAATATTAATTAATTCCTGTTTTTATTGACGATATTAATTGATTAATTTTGCGCGATAATTTATGTGCAACTGGTGAGATTCTATTAGTTTTTTTTTTTTTTTTTTTTTAAATCGCTTTAGATTAATAGCTATTAATGATTAATTAACATTTACAATTATTATATTATCAATATCCAATATATATATATAGTAATCAAATAATCTTAATTTATTATTTAAATTTTCATTATAACTATCGTACATCGATGAAATGCTGCGAAATGTATCCCCCCCACCCAATTAAACATTGTGCATTAAATCTAAAGCTTTAAGTAGGATGAAGTTAAAGGAAGAGTGACGAATGTAGATAATGATGGGTAGGAGGGGGAAGGAGGAGAATAATAAGAAGCTGAGTGAGCGATGATACTTACGGACAAAAGCTACGTCGCATCGCGTAAAATCCATCTTCCGTAAGGTCGTGTAGAGAAAGTTGTCCCATATACGCAAATTTCATTGACAAATCTCCACTGAAGAGCGCTTCAATACAAAGATCCCAGGTGGAGATAAATCGTGACGCGCCTCTATTATTCAACATGCTAGACAATGTGATAAATATTCATGTAAACTTTTGAGTATGACAATTGCGTACCAGAAATGCATTTTAATTTGAAATATACTTTATATTGTAGTAATCTTTAAAAGTGAAATTTCATCTGTGATGAGAAATATTCAGAAGCTGCGATCTCCTTAATATCAGTTAGTGAGCTATTCCTAATGTAATTTTGTGCAAAATTATTTGTATTGAATGAATTTAAGGCCAAAAGATTTTTTTTTTTTTTTTTTATTGTTTTTTTTTCATTCATGAAAACGAAAATCTATGTTGATTTCAAGTGAGATCTTGTTTTCTTTGCCTTCTCTTAATATTCATAAATGAATGTACATTTAAAAACTTTTAAAGCTTATGTAAAAGCTTAATGTAAGATGCGAAATATTTATGCAACAAGTTCAATAATTCAGAAAATAGTTATTATGGTATTCTCGAAAAATTGTTGGTAAAATATTTTTATACCAGCTAGCTAAAATTTTCATTAGGCAAATTGAAATTTCATTATTCAACCAAATGGAATTAAAAGCAATATATGTATGCATTAATGTATCCGGATACGATTGAATAAAATAACCTGCAGCTTAAAAGCTCTTTTAGATCCGATGAATTTTCATAAACGTCACCCAACACATACGCAAAGAAATTTAATACACTCGCAATTGCAAACTGTACCAAGCAACTAAGTAATTCAAAATATCCTTCGTGTCTGCAGACTTACTTTTAAATAAAAATACCATCCTTTCGTCCAGCAATGACGCTTAATAATACGGTCGTTCGCAATTAAATTCGCGATCGAAAGTAAACTCACGTTTATTTTATCTCGCCACAAGGATCACAAAATAATAGCTTAATCTCCTTACTATTCGAGATATCCCTGTTGCATGCACAAAGTGGCGAGAAGAGGATCCGCGCAAAGTAAAAGCACAAGCTCCGTTGCGGCGTTTCGCACTGGCACCGACTCCACATCCGTTATCAACTGGTACATCTTCTTCAGGGTGCCAACATATACGAAAACTTTCCTCGCCGCCTCATTAATGGGGAATCTGGCTAGGACGTTGCAGCAGGCGATTTTCATCTCATCCGACGCACCATTTTCACGCTTGAACAAGTGTATTTGCAATCATTGAATTCGTTAGTCTCATATGGTTTTATGGTCACGAAAAGCTGGTGAGAAAAACCACGATGCCAGGAAAACAAACAATAATTAACAGAGTTTTGATTAATAAAGCTTATTTCCAATTATTTTTATATCAGTAATAGTAAACATTATATCTGTATCTAACATTAAAGCTCTTTGATCGAACTTTTTCATATTAAATTTGTATTCATTTTATACATCAGAAATTTACAAATAATTAAGTCTTTTTCACTTATGCTCCAATAAGTATTCTAATTTTTTTTTATAATATATATTAATTCGTATTCTGTGTCAAAGCGTTACAAGGACTAAAGCAAAAATATAATATAATCTATGTAATTTTTAAATTTACATTTAGTAATTTAAGCCTCTTATTTGAACTTTTATTCAAATTGTTGAATGCAATCAATTAAATTGAATTCAAATATCTATGATAATATTTTAATCAGTAATGCATATAATTTACATACTTTCTTTGAATGCTTAGATTTAATAAAATTGTAAACTTTAGCAAGAGTTTACCATCCTAATAATCCTATTTGATTTTAAACGACGTCAATAGCCTATTTTATCTTCACCTTTCATAAAATCTTACGATAATAATTATACATAATTTATTCATTTAGATGGTCTATGAAACATATAGCCATGCTATTTGATACATAAAAACAAGGAAACGAAACCATTTAATTAAAAATAAAAACGTTAGTCATATACTTATTCTTTTTTATATATAAAATAGAATAATAAACGAAAGGTCAATGTTAATGTATTGCAATATCACGATTAATTAAATAAAGCTCTACCTCTAGAATAGATGAGAGTGCATTGAAAAGATCGATGCTGATCAAATCTTCGGCTAGTGAAGAATAATCTGCAATTGCCGATATAATCTGTAGTATAGTAACTTGAGTTTCCGAAGGTAAATTATTCGTTGGTTGCTGAATAAGACGTATCAAATGTTCCTATAAATTTTCGATTTCAATTAATTTAGTTAGCCAACTTTAGCATCGACGGTACACGCTTATTTATATTATTCTAATATTTCGTAATTTGTGTTTAAAAAGAAAACATCTTGTCTTTCGACAAAAACGATTTTTTTTTTCTTTTTTTTTTTTGTCACCGAGGTACGTTAACAATATCTTATAGTTAATTTTCCTTTTATTTTTGTTTGTTAATTAAATGCCCCGAACAAAAAAAAAAAAAAACCTGAAGCTGATTAAAATAACTTTTCATACATGACCGTTGATTTCCAAAAAATTAATGCAATTCTGAAGATCCGAAAGAAACAATTCTTTTAGCGCAAAGGCAGCCGCCTGTCTTTCGAGCCACTGAGCCTCGTCGTCATTCAATAACTCTGTAAAGTATTATCAATTTTCAATTGCATATTTATGATTGCACACATAAAAAATATTGCAATCACGATAATTACTTAATATATAATTGACGGGATTATTTCGTAATATTTCATCGACGGATGGACCATATTGTGTCATATAGCCCAAACCTTCACAAATTATAGCTCGTACGTGCGGTTCATTATAAGTTTCTAAATATTCCAACATATACTGAACCAATCCATAAGAGTTCATTAGCTGCAATTTTCATAGATAACCGCTTAAGAAATCAAACCTTAATGGCTATATAATAATTTACATACACCGGATTTATTGAACAATACGGAATAAATAAATTAGAATAATTTAAAATGAATTTAATGATTTCGAAATATCTCATATTATTAATAATATATATATATATATATATATATATATATATATATATGAAAGTAATTTTAAATTCGTTTATATGTCATGCATGAGTTTACACAAAAGCAAAACTACATAATTATAAAGTAAATTATTTCCATACTTTTTTGCCATTTATAGTTACTGTCAACCCAACTAGGACGTGTAATGTTAAAAATTTCAGTTGGTCATTTTTCGTATTTTCCATGAGATTGAATAATTGTCTCACTGCATCGGTTTTAATTATAAACTCGACTGTTTTTACATTGTAACAAGCCAGTTTTAAAATATGAAGGACTTTATAATATAAGTCATTCCAATCCTCGTGCTAATGAAATAAATATGGATTTATAATTATTACGTCTACAAGATGGTTGCAATAAAATAAAAATATCGATATTTTAGGTTTTATACAATTTGTAATTATAGAAAATTTTATAAAATTTGTGAAATTTGAAGAATATCTCTTTTCATTACAAAAAACAAAATTGAATTAAAAAATGTTTATCTATTCAAACTAAAATATCAAGATGAATTTAAAAATAATTAATTATTATAATGTAATTTTTTAAGCCAATATTGCAATTGGTTAAATTTTCATCATAATAAGTTTTACAACAAAGATTAATGAGTCATTAGCATAACATATTCTACAATATTAACAATACGAACTGAATTAGAATGAGAAACTGAAAAACAATATTATTTTAATATACTATTTTAGATAAAATTATGATTGGTGCAAAAGATCTTTTCAAATTAATTTTTAGCCCAAAAATTTTTGTATTTGTACGGAAGATTTATTTCTAAATAATTATTCCTCAATGTTTGAAATACGACATTCAGTATTATCATGTAAAATCATTTTTATATCTATAAAAGTATTATTTTAATTATTCTCACATTCAAAATTTCAACCAGAGATTGTACTCCTCGAGATGCTCGAAATTTTTCATGAATACCGTCGTCCGTATTATGAATTAAAAGATACTCGATAACATTAAGGGCGAGCTGCTGTATAACTGTATAAGGTTCATTAAATAATTCATAAATAACTGCAAAATTGAAGTCCTGCAATTCGAACGGATTAATTATGTCTTTGGTTTAAAAGTTGCAATATTACTATGAAAATAATAATGCAACGAATGTATTTATAATTCAGCTAATTATTATATCTGTATGGAAGATAATAATAAATAATATTAATAATGCACAATATATAATTTTTTTTTTCAAGTTACGGGCATTTTTAAAAATTTATTGCGCATTTGTTTCGATCTTAAAAAATGTATCAATTGTTCAACTTTAAATTAATATTTTTAACATTGTACGGTACAAATTAATAATTTTCTACAATATTCATATCGTTGACAAAAGTGAGAATAAAATTAAACAATCAAAATAATGTCTACTACAAGGACAAATAAACTTGTTGTAAAATAAACAACAATATTTGTTGAAAAACTTCAAATAAATTATTTAATATTTAATTACAATTCGGTATTATCTAAATTTATAAACAAAAAAAAAACAACGTATTTTTATGATATATATATAGATATAATAAATATATTTTAAGTTTCGTTAGAAAATTTTGATTCAAGAAACAATGATCTATGCTAAATTATATATGTGGAAATTATTTTCTAATTTATATAATAATATCATTGTGTGTGTGTGTGTGTGTGTGTATCATCATAAAATCATAAAATGCAAACCTTTGATTCACTCACGACATTGAAACCATTTAAATCCTTGAGTAAATTGTTTAGAATTTCGATACAATTTTTCTTTACATCAGGGTCGGTGACTTTTAATTTTTCGAATAAATAACTGACATCGGGAAATTTATTTAAAATTGTATCGGCGCCTGAAGGAATAGCCGACAATTCGGCAAGTATACGAGACGAAAATTCTTGTAAAAATGTATCTTGTTCGTTCGTAAGCATCTTAGTGAAAAGCATTATGTAAAAATCTGTTTTCAATAGGTGAATTTGAACATTTTGCACAGCTGACATCAGAGCTAAGAGTTTCAATGCAAATCTGCAAAATTTACGAAACTTGAATACCCACGCAATAATATAACGTCGCGATAAGGATATCCGTAAGTAATTAATTCTATGAATTCTTCAAGACTATTTTTCAGCATTTTTAACATTTTATTATTTGTATTATTTTTTTTTTTTGTTTGTTTTTTTTTTATAGCTGCTTTTTTATCAGCCAGCATAAGAACAAATTTTAATCATCTTTTACATCTAAATGCCGAAAACAAGAATTTTCAACGAATCTGAAACTGACTTACGCAAATGATCTTCTAAGCCCTTTGCCAGTTATATATATTTAAGGAATTGTAATCAATATTATTCATGATAATAGAAATTTAAAGAAATTTTAACACTAACTATTATTATGTGCTTATATCAAGTTACATATTATATGTTCGCAATATTTAATTGCAAGCTGAGAGATTCCATTTGCAACTTACATGTGAATGATGCGTATGGGCGCGTTAGAGAAATAGAAGAATTCACAAAGAAATTACACTGAGCTTTGCGCTTCTAATGATAAATGCATGCAAAGTTTCAAAACAGGCTCGTTACGTGTGATGTGAGACCTGCGAGTATATAGATCGTCGTGGTCGATCATGGTGAGGATGTTCTCGACGACGTTGAGATCGAAGAGGGCCTCGAGATTGCCCTTGGCCTTCTCGGCGAATCGAGAAAGAGAGGCTGCAGCTGCTAATAGGATGGGCTTCTCGGGACTTCTGAGCAGGAGAATCGCCGTATCCGGATAGTTCACCTCGAGGCTCAGTGGCTCGAAGCTCGACTGCGCCTCCAAGTTTCGATCTTCCCTTTCTTGACCCCCGGATATGCATTCCTAAAATGAACTTGCACGAGCTTTTACAGTATAATTTTAAACTATACGTGAATTTTGAAAATTATTTCGCTTTCCTTTTTAAATTGATTATACAATTTGATTTATTATTATAGTAAACGTTTAAAAATTAATTTTCTAATATTTTTAAAATACTATTGAATCCACTCATAGTTTATAACTTCAAAATCACTGACAACCCGTTCTATAAAATATTTATAATTCAACATTATGTATTGTCAAATAGTAGCAGCGAATGTCTGGAGAAAAAAAATTTATCAATTTCAATACAATCTTTTTCCCGTCTGAATTTATCCAATAGCTTTTATTTTCTTTATTATTATATTATGGAAATATTCGTAATAATATAGTACTTAAAGATCATAAATTTCCGTGGATTTACGTTGAATTTATCGGGTAAACAAAACCACAAAATACATTGATTTATATAAAATTTATTATACCGTCAAGTTAGTATTGATCATGTAGATCCTGATTAAGCTTTAATTCTACTATTTAGGTTAGATTATTAATTTGACTTTTAACCTTTCGGTAAATAAACATGAAATTGTTAAAATTATTAAATTCAATATTCACTTACTAACTTCAAGTGACATAATTGAGATTTTTAATATAGTATAAGGGAAGGTGTAATGGGTAATGGAAAATTCAACTGTTGCATCTCTCATATAAAATATATTCACGTGCTTTCTTGCTTGTTATATTCTGCACTTACATACAATAAAAAATAGGTACACTTTCGAAGTTAATCAATGTTATTTGTGCTGTTATTTCGGCATCCGAATGACAATAACAATTTATTTTTCTATTATTTACCGCATTCTCGGTCGTGCGCTTGTCCTACATTCTGTAAGAAATCTTTATTATTTAGAACAATATATTGGAATGTTTGATGTACAGAATAAAATTAACAATAGTAACGTAATACGTTACGCCAATACGTTCATTAAGTATCAAAAATACCATTTGAAATTTGAAACGTACTTTGTTCGGCGGTACAAATAAAAAAAAAAATGTACGTCACAAAACTGCGTGAAATCGTATGTTTTACAATATTTCGAAATATTTCATTCAGTGAATAGATTATTTATTGGCTTAAATTATCTAGCTTTGATTTACAGAGATCACTAATGTGTTATGCAAATGACACAATGCTGGCAGTGGTAACAAGTATAAAATTTTTAAGCATTCATGGTAAGAGTAACTTGGAAAAAAGACATTAAAATGACGTGTTTTAAAAATTTGTCCTTGTACTTTTGTTCACAATTATTATTGGTTTTTTTTTTCTATTTATTTATTTATTATTATTATTTTTTTTTTCATTAATATAGTATGAATAAGAAATATAATAAAGTTATTTACAATGAAAAAATGTAACAGAAGAAAAAAAAACTCTACATGAATATGTAAACCTCGAGCTTTTAAATACAACGTAAAGAATATCGCTTATAATATAGAATTTTTATACAACAATTATTACGTAGAACATACATTTTCAATTTTCATAGGAATAGCTATGGAAAAATAATTTCAACTATTTTTTTTTCTTCATTATTATTAAAAAAACTTATGATTTATTAATTAAAATCATAGAATATATAGATAACCCCACTCGAGGAATAAAAGTAGTAAGCGATAATTTAATGTTTGCATAAATTTTTAATTGACTCATATAAAATTATAGTTTATTTTTTCATTTAATATCTGTAATTAAATTGCAAAATATTTTAATGTCAATTTCCTATAGATCTCTTGAAGTATAAACTGACAATATTCTTGTACATACATCTTTCATGCTTAAAATATAATTTACAAATGTAATTTTATAATAAAAGCAAAACAAAGCAGATTATTATGACTACGCAAGGACTTATCATTAATAATAGCATCGATAATTTTATATAATACAGAGTAAAAAAAAAATATATATATATAAACTATACAAAATTTATATAAATTTATTGGACGGATATAATTGTCTTATAATTACGTAAATGAGAATGGCTCATAAAATTATGATATCATAATAGTATTGTGATATCAACTTTAATCGTCATTGTATAATGATTATTTTTTAATATTATTATAAAAAGGCAATATTTTTTGTGTGTGTGTGTGTGTGTGTGTGTGTGTGTGTGTGTGTAAAATATATGTACGGATCTAGCATTCGTATCCTTATTAAAAATATTATTGTAAACTAACATTTCATGCCAAGTTATAGTTAGTCATTCAACCCGACTATAAATATGTACAGAACGTACACGACTTTGTTAATATTTCCCTTTTCTTTTTATCGTTAAATCTTAACGAGGTATATTAAATGACAACAAAAAATAATAGAAAAGTTTAATTATGTTTGAAAAATAAATCGTTCTTTATACTTCTACTGTAATGTAAATATGACTCGACAGCCAACAAAATGGTAATCATGTTTTCTATTACTTTACAAAAAAAAAAAAAAAAAAAAAAAAAAAAAAAAAAAAATTGTACTTGGATTGATAAGTTAGTCGTTGGATTCATAGCTCGTTAGCACTTCATTATACATACTAATATAGTAGCAGATTCTCTTTATTTATTCACAATATTACCAGTCTATCTAGTTTTATTTTTATTAACAACCTAATTAATTAATAAGCTGAGAGAAGTACCAATTGATTAAGTTTTTTTTAGTATTTTAGATAAATTGTTTGATGAAGAACGAAAAATTATAATCATTTTTTGAAAAGGAATAATTATTTGTTTTACAATAGTATTAATTAATGATTTTAAAGGCTAGAAGAGACTAAAGATGATAAAAGTCTTTTATGCTTTATAGTAAAAGTATAAAATTATTATAAGACATTATAAGCTTGTGAACAAATATTTATGTACTCTATATTAATAATACTAAGAAAAAAAATAACGAATGAACTAGGAATTAATTAATTAATTAATTAATTAATGGATTTTGTTTTAATGACAATTTACAATTGTAAAACAAAATCGATTTAATTGCTAAGCATCGTACTACGAAACTACTTAATTTTATAAAAATTAAGGTCTTATTGGATAAACCAGGCTTATAGCGCAAAGTAGTCACATTCGTTGATCACGCGGTACATTTACTTAATAACAACGAGATTTTATCTCAATGACGTATATAAATCATTACTCTGCTAGAGTAATTAGACATTTAAAATCATAATACATCTTCATTAAAGTAAAATATTAAACGCTAAATGATAAAATTTTCTTAATTTTATCGATTTTTATCGTCTTTACTTTTGCCTGTATTTATTTTACTTAACTTAAAAAACTCATTATACCGTAAGTTTTCCTAATCGGATCTATAAATCGAACGAATAAAATGAAACATTAATGCCATAAACTAACTTAATCAAAGTTAGATGCCAGTCATAAATAAAAAAACTGGTGCTATACTGATCCCTGATTATTCATTCAAATTAATTAATATCCACTCATGAAAAAGGGAGGAAAATTAAAGCTGCCAGAACGAGATCTCACACTCGTAAAATACCACTTAAATGGGATATTAAAATAATCCTTGCTCGCGACTAGGTGCTCGCGCGGCACCTAGTTTCGATTTACGAAATGTCAAGTGCGCCTTCCAACGCGAAAGCTGGACGCGGAAGGCAGCAATGGAATGTGATGAAAGTAAAGATAAACGAAGAGCTCAACGAGATCAGACTGCTGTTTGTGGCACACCTTGGACGAGATGAGTCTTGCTCCTGCTTTTGGGCAGGCTGCCCTGGCTCGGCGCCCTGTCGATCGACCTCGGCTGCCCGTTTGGTGAGCTCGTGACGAAGGCCTCGGCTCGCGCATCCTTGAGCGAATTGTTAGAGTTGCTGCGCAGCGACGGCGTCGAGCTAAATTTACGGTTCTGAGCGAGCCGCTCCTGGAGCTTAATGTCGTGCTGATTGTGGTGGTGACCCCTGGCCATACGAGGCCGCATCGGTGGAGTATCACGGTACTCGTATACATTTTCCTTCGAGGCGCGCATTAAATTATCGATTCCTTCCGAGGGCTCGTCTTCTCGCACCATCAATATGTCTCCGCTATAGTAGTGATCCGACTGCCTATTGGGACACAGAGACACACGGCATATGATTTCTTATTGTTTTGGATCGACTGGTGGATTTTACTTAATACGTTAGTTGTAACGCCAGAGTCTTTCGTTCTCGTTAACTCTAACATTTGATAAACATAATTAGATCTTAGCTGTTGTACAAGGTTGCTATTTATAATACCAAATATTTTAAGTATTTTAAATAACTTTAATATATTCATTGTGCATAGGATTATATGTCAAGTTTCTGTTTATATTGTTGATTTTAGTATTTGCTAATAGTCATCTTTGTACGAACGATCCTATCAATTAAGTCAATAGCTTAGTCATTAAGTATGTACAACTTCAATAAGTAGACGACATTATTAGAAATAAATGTTTAGGATCTTTTCTAAGAATTTGAATCCATCAATTTTTATGCCTCGCCCGAAATAGTAAATTTCTTAACTCTAATATTAGAGTCATTATAATCATTTGGTTATTTCGACTTTAAATATGTAAGAATTGATAGAATTTTAATATAATTATTTATAGAATTATTGAATAAATCCAAAGATAGAATATTTTTCTCGTGTGTTCTCAATATATATAATATTAAAAAGTATTTCGATTATAAACTTTATACTTGCTAATTTATTAATAAATTAATGATAATGAGCCTCCTTTAAACAAAAACTTTGTACTTACTCGAATGCAATCTTAACATCAATGTAATACAATATGGAACCATATTTATACTAAATAATATTAATAAATTTCCTTTTTTGCATACAGACATTTTATGAAATGTATACACATATGTACACTATGTCATAAAACATATATAATTGAGATTGTTTTTAAGAAATTTACTTTTTCATACGTTTCATACTTTCAATTGTCACATTTCGTAACGGAATAATAAGCAAATAAGAAAATAAAATCTAACGTGTAAAAAATTTTTTTAAGTGCATTATAGACACTAGTGCAGTGTGCTCTTAATTGTTGAAAAAGCATTGAAAATAATAAAAAAAATAACAAAACTGTCCTACTTTTCATTAAATTGGGTGCGTGTGTGTTTGTTTGTTTGTTTGTTTTTTTTTTTTTTTTTTTTATATATATATATATATAAACAATGTATATAATAGAATAAAAGAGTGCTGTAGTAATCCATGAATGATTTATAAAATTTTACCTGCATATTTTATTGCGGCTTCCGATTTACTAAGAAAATGGCAAATAGAAATTATTATTTGCAAGTGTTAGTAACCAAGCGATAATTAAAATTTACATGATAAATTTATCTAAATTTTTTTCAAATATTTACAAATTAATTATTTTTATATGTATTTTATGTTTGTTAATAAACCAGAACCTGTGCTCACGTGCACTAACCAATACTATTGGCTTTTCAGTCAGGCGTAGTCACATGAATTTGGTTCTGTTTACCTTTTGCTTACCTTTTGGCATTCCGCCAAAGCATACAACACACTGCTGATATGACAATTAACAAAAGACACGCCGTTGACATGGACCAAAATGCTATTTGAAGTGGTTGTTTCGGTTCCCACCAATACTATTAAAGAAAAAAAAAGAAAAAAAAAATGATACTTAAATAATTAAAAATATTGAAACAAACTAATTTAACAAATTAACAAATTAATTTAAAAGTAATTTAGAAGTTATAAATTTTAATTAATTAAATAAATTTTAATATAGAAAAAAGTAATGGTATTATATGAAATTGGAAAAAAAAAGATAGCAAATAAAATATATATAGATAATATTACGTTGCTTTACAAAAAAAAAAAAACATTTTAAAACATTAATAGTTTCAATTCGGTATGTTTATAGTTTTGTCAAATTTTTATATTTAAATTCATTTGCGATTAATTTATTGCCAACATTTAACGAGAATTCAAATAAACTATAAATAATAAGAATATTACAATAAAGCTTACTTCCGTTACTGGAGGATACGTTGGCACTAAACGACCAATGACTGTGGGTAAATATTGTGACCAGAAAGCACTTTCGGTTTGTCGATAATTATACAAAATTGAACTATTGTAGGTCGTATTAATATTTAGGTATTTAAGTTCACCAAATTTCGCTACGTCAAAGTGTAATCCCAAAATTTGAGAAGGTGTTGGATTTCTAAAGGAAAAATGTTAATACATTTATTGATTGTTAAAAAAAAAATTAAGTTATTTTCATTCACTATTCATTTGTATTCAAATTATATCGATTGAAAATTTACCCCATAGCTGCAAAATTTGAATATGCTTTCATAAAAAAGTGGCTCATATTTCGATCGTTATCTGTCCACATATCTCGTTTTAATTTTAGTTTTTCAGGAAAGAATTCTATAAAATTTAATGATAATAATGCATCAATGTAATTAGAAAATGGCACTGCTTCATAGTGGTAACTTTTTACATCAATATTTCCTTATTTCAACTGTAAGCTTACCGATATCCATAAATGGAGCTCCAGTCAACAATAAATGCTCGATATCATGGGGCACTCGTCTCCAAAATGGTAAATCCAACGCCTCGATAGTTGTATTTAATACATATAAGAAAACAGGTACGTTTCTTTCCACTAGAAGCTTAGCGATTTTATCATGTGGAGCAATATAATGAAAATCAGATAATAACTGTACAATAAAATAAAACAGCATATCATTCGATGCTTGTTGTATTATTAATTAATCATTTAATAAAACATTGCTTAATACTTACGTTTATGTACTCATCTCGAATGTGTGTCACATTCTTTGGATCTGGCCAATAAGTATACATATATTTAATAGCTTCGTACACTCCCCAAGGATTCAATGTATAATTATAACGTAAAACTAATTCCCAAATTTTCTGATCGAACATCTCGGGTGTTATCGTAAATTCGCTTTTAGCTAAAGTAGCGTTATTAACTAGAAGAAAAACGGTAATATTTTATTATTAATATTACCGGAATCATTATTATCTACGCGAATATTATTGGCATTGTATTTTGTGCATTTACATAAAATAAAGGACGCTTCTTGAGTAGTTACTCCAGCCATGTACATTATATCGGGTCTGTACTTTCGTGTTTTTATACTATCCTCGGGCGTTTCAGTGAAAAAGTGCCAATCAGAAGCACTCCAGGAATCGTAATAATCTCTTGGCACAGTGAAATTTAAATCTAGAACGGGAGCCCAAGGAAACATGCCAATTTGAGGTTTAAGCTCGGCGTTCCCTAATTCGTAAAAACTTCTAAAATCTTTTAAGCATTGTACTAGTTTCCAGCTACTCTCGATACTACAGCCAAGGAGCTCTGCGTAGACCCTAGATGTATTCTGGGCACGATATTTATCAACTGTTAAAGCCCAATCGGCCAAAGCTGAACCTGATTGAGCTATAACACCTGCAACCATGTCTCGGGTTCTATAAAATAATGTATGTTCGATTAGACTGATATATTTATAAATTCAAAATTGTAAATAATTATTAAATCATAAGTATTTATTGAATAATTTAGCAGTTTCACTATTATTAGAAATTATATTATCAGAAATGAATTATTGCCTAAGGTACGTTAGCGTACAAAAATTAAAGTATTGGTTAATTAAAATTGTTTTCGCTTAAAAAGTTAAGCGGAGACTGCAATATTAATCAATTAATATTTATTATGAAATAAATGATGTCTTGTCATAAATTTTATTGGTACCTTGGTGCAACCATCAATAGACCAGCGCTAGCAGCCCCCGCACCTGGACCAAATAAAGTGATCCTTTCGGGATCTCCATTGAAGAATTTAATATTATCGTAGACCCATCTTAAAGCCATTGCTTGATCAAGAATTCCATAGTTTCCAGGACTGTTCTCATCTCCGGTACTTAGGAACCCTAATTTATAAATACAAGTTGCATTGAATACAACTATAGATATTTTTAACATTTGAATTTTTAATTATAAAACTATTACCAAGAGCTCCTAAGCGATAATTTACAGTAACCACAATAACATTGTAAAAGCCAGATAATATATGAGCTGGAAATAGATTGCTCGCTCCGTGTATGAATTCTCCACCGTGAAGATAAAACATGACAGGATATTTACTCGCTAGTCCAGAGTTAATCTGAAAAAAAAAATAAAAAAAAATGCATTTTATGTTGATTTATCATTATTAAAATATTATAGTCAGCGCTGTGCCTTCGTCAATTTTGGCAGTTAGGCAGTAAGACAATAATAACTTACGTTAGGACTGAAAATATTTAAATATAAACAATCTTCGTTGACATCTCGTACTCCTTTTGTAGCGCCTGTATACTGACTTGGTTGTGGACACGCTGGTCCCCAATCGACGGCTTGCATAAGATGCCAACCTCTAAAAATTGAACATAATTTATCTCAATAATCGTAATAACATTATCTTGTAGTTTGTAAAATAATTTTAATAGACCACGAGTACTTTAATTATGCAAACATTTGCAAATGCATTATTGTCAACACGCAAGCTTTAAAATAAGAATGTAATTATTGCTATATCATACTTGTGTATTCTCGGCGGCTTGAATCTCCCCTCTTTTACCGGTGGCATGGCATAAGGAATACCAAGAAATACATTAACATTGGCTGTTACTCTTTCAACGGGAAGACTCCAAGGCCTGTGTCTTGCTTCCGGATGATCGTAAAGATAAGTTTTAAAGCCCTGTATTAACCCATAATGAGTCGATACAAAGACATCTCGTTCAAGGTTATTGGAGTCGGGTCTTTCTTTGCCCTGCAAATCTGACCTCCAGCCTCCTAATACTCCGGGTAATGGTGATCTTTCGGTAACCTACAAATGTTATGCATTTTTATAATTTTTTTTATTATTTTATATATAAAATTTTTTCAAGAGAAAATTATTTACAGTATTCTTCTACCATAAATGTAAAAAGATAGTATTAAACGATTTTAATTAGTAGATTTTAATAAATAAGAATTGCTTATTCACAATTAAACTAAAAAGTAACTGGCTAGCGTTGACTAAAGTTTGTATTACTTCATAAATATTGTATTTCTTTTTTTAAATCAAAGACATAATTAAAGAAATAGATAATAAAATTGAGAAAATTTCTTCATTACAGTGTACGAACTTGGATGAAATAACACAGAGTCGAGTTGTGCTTAAATTTGATTTTTCCTACTTAACGTTTGAAGTAAATTTATCGCTGAATAAATAAATAAATGGAAAAGCAAAATTACAAAATGATCGGTAGTCGAAATTAGAGATTCGTTATACCATCTTAAAAAATGGGAAGTAATAAATTGTGTAAACTTAATAATTCTGATTAGATAAATGTGATTCATTTAACAAAGCAGATTTATTAAGAACGTCAGCGGTTACATTAGTGATTAGATCTATCGTTATAAAATGCCACGATGAGCCATTCATCACCGTTCTCCACTCTAGGCCCATCATATACAATAATAATGAATAAGCAACTAAACGAAGGAAAGATGGCAAAATGATTATGAGGGGGTATATTTAAAGATGGGGGGCTTGAAATTAATAAGAAACAGTGGAGGAGACGAGAGAGGTAGTGCCAACAAAAAGTAATGAAAACAAAGGACAGATTCAGAAAAGTTGGCCACAAACGACATAGACTGGGGTGGGTGGGGATGCGGGGGCGGAGGGGGAAGTCCGAGACCGCTGGAAATAATTTCAAATTACTCGTTAACCAGCGCTCGTAAATACCTTTCACAACAATCCGAAACACTATTATTAATGAGAAAGAAAGAGTCACATCCCATCATAATAATAACAAATCGAAATGTAAACAAGGCTGTTGTTACCCAATTACAACTAAAAAGCAATGAAAAGACACCGAACGGGCACAAAAGAAAGTTTCAGAGTATTACGAAATCTCGAGCGCCAGCGTCAATACGAAAATACCAAACTCCGGTCACACACACGCCTACGCTTGGAATAGCGCGCGAAACGCCCCAGGAGACTGACTGGTAGCAAATCTCGACAATCGACTACCCACGGGCACAAGGTGTATAAAACTCACGTCGAAATGAAAGCGATCCTCGGGCGCGCGGGTGGGCTCCCTGTTGTAATAAGGATTGAGGTAACTCGGCTGGTAGCCGTACCTCCTGTCGTTGTAAAACTTGTTCTCGTACCAGGGTCTGCTGGAGGCCGACTGGGATTGCTGTTGATGCTGCTCGGGCTCCTGGGCGAGACCCGCGGTCAGGAAGACCGCGAGCAGATGAAGGATACGCGACCGAGCCTCGGCCATCTTGCCCGACTAACGCCCTGCTGCTGCTGCTGCTGCTGCTGCTGCTGCTGCTGCTGCTGCTGTTGCTGCGACTGTCGCCGCCACCGCCACCGCCACCGCCGCCGCCGCCGCCGCCGCCGCCGCTACCGCCACCGCCACCGCTACCGCCACCGCTACCGCCACAGCCACCGACATCGCCACCGCTGCCACTGTCGCCGCTGCCTTCTCCCTCTCGTATCAGCTACTTTTTCGTCGCGCCGCCGCCGCCGCCGCCGCCGCCGCCGCCGCCGCCGCCGCCGCCGCCGCCGCCGCCGCCGCCGCCGCCGCCGCCGCCGCCGCCGCCGCCGCCGCCGCCGCCGCCGCCGCCGCCGCCGCCGCCGCCGCCGCCGCCGCCGCCGCCGCCGCCGCCGCCGCCGCCGCCGCCGCCGCCGTCGTCGTCGTAGTTGGCGCGCTGTCGCTCGGTGCTGTTGTACTCGATACCCGCCTGCAACGAAGGAGAAACGCGATAGGTACGGGCGAGTCCGTCGCTCGCCTGGGAGAAACGAATGCCAGATTCGCTGTCGCAGCACTGCTCCTCTCTTACCGGCACTACACCCCCCCCTCCACCTCCGCCTCCCGTCGCCGTCACCGCCCCCGCGTACCTTGCGATACGCTCCTGTTACGTTACGACTCGGTTCTTACGGAGCGTGGAGGTCGTGGGTGCGCGTACGCGCGTTATACCGGGCTACGCTTTTTCACTTGGTTCACCCAAGCTGGGGGCCCTTTATTTTCACGGGGCACTTATCGCGGCTCTCGACGACCGCTCGTAAAGAGCCTCCGCCCGATTTTTTAATCGGCTAACAAAAGCTCGAGAGCTGCACGCACGAGCTTGAACGATTTAAAACGTAATAAAAAACATAAAAACTAAAAATCCAGCACTTGGCTGCTGCTCGGCGCTTTAACAAAACTAATTCGACACTTTTTTTTGCATTTTCGATAAGTACATGAAAAAGTACAATGGTAGAGCCAATAATTAAAGGAAAATTTTATTCAAGTCAGATGTAATGATGATTGAGAATAAATGACAGGTGTCTACGTGTCATTGTAAACCATTAATATCTGAATGGAAAAGTAGCTATTCAAGTGCAATCAATTAACAATAATTGCTCCATCGATTAAAATATATAAATAAGAAACATGCGCAACGTTGAGTATACGTTAATTAGTTTATTTATTATTTAGACTATTCATTTATGTAGTATTTCATTAGGATTCGTAAGTACATTTCATGAATAAGCATACATTTCACCGTGAAATATTTTCTTGTAGTTCTACTACAAGTTGTTGTCTGTTACAAGATGTTACTAATGTACTATTGTACTTGAATGTAGAATAATAAAGGAAAGAGAAAATTCTACAAGCTCATCAAGAATTTAATATATTACGGCTTTTCATGGAATATCAAAAGTTTCCATTTTATAATATAACTAATGAAAATAAAAGAAAGAAGAAGAAAAAAACAGGCTTCGATCATCGTAACTTTCCTACTTTCGTTATCATACAAAAATGGAAATTTTTTTTTTTTTTTTTTTCCCATAAATCTATGCAATTGCTTATGTATTTATAATATTAATGATTCCGAAGCTCTACGATACTCAAAGTTGTTTATGCATTTTAACATAAATAATTTAAGCGCTGTACACGGTTTCAAATAAATAATAAAGCTCTATACAAATAAATAAGATGTTAAAATTCTAAATATGCACTACTGTATGCAATAGTAATTATTGACAATTAAATAGCATTTTGTGGCACATTCTGATCATTTGAATAAACTTTAAAGTTTTTTTCTTTTTTATTTAAAATGAAAATATTTAGCTGTTTGGAGAAGAATCGGAACTCTAATATAATAGATAATTATAGCTATCGGTATAAGTTAAATACTCCTGGCATGAAATTAATAAACTATTAAGAGAAAAATATTTAAGCCTATGATTAGTAATTAAACAAACGTCGTTTTTCTTAAAGATACTCGTTGCTAATTCGTTATTCCTATGAATCATTTATTGAATTAGCAACATTTTAACTGGCATTAATATTGCCATGTACACTGAAAACGATGACTGATGCACACAAGGCGAATGGGCAAACTCTAATTGATGATTTTTAAAAGCCAAATTGCCTCAAGTGATTTGAAACATATATTATAAGACATAATTCGATTGTATTTAAAAAAAAATTTGTTATGACTTAAGTTAAAGAGACTAGGTATTTCATATAGTTAGAGAGTAAAGAGCCTGAAATAATATTTGAATAAATTTCTTTTCTCCTATTTCTTTATATTTATTCATATTTATTTACAATATTGTTATTATGTTTGAATTTTTTCTAAGCATTTCTAAAATACAACATTGTATTTTAAAAGGTCAATATATGTTCACGAATGAAGGTCTGCCTTTGAATGTGAAGCTAACCAAGCATTTATTGATACAGTGGCATTAGTATAATAATAAAAGCCGTTACGATACTTGCGCTTAAAATAATTTCAATTTCCCATTTTAACGGATTATAATACTTTGAAAGTGTAATTTTGCATAATCACAAAGGTGGATGGATCTATGGAACTTTTCACTCTTAGCCTACCAACGGCCCTTCTTAAAAGCACGCTTGCATTGCAAAAGGGCTAGAGCACAGCGATAATAACACTAAAATCCTCTTTTTGCGCTTACTCTACTTTAGTATATTTCTTCTCTTTTTACATTGTAGTTTTCGTGGTATTCGCACGGGGGCTTTCATCGTTGTCCCTTGAAAAAAGATAAAAAGGAAGGCGAGACTCGACATCATACAGAATGCGGTAAGTGCGTCTTTTTTATATCGTCACTCCCCTTTGTGCTTTATACACTTGCAAGAGTTATGTAACTACAAATGCAAAAACATTCTCGTTTAATCCTATTCTTATGCCATTTTTATGACCTTATTTCTCTTTTTTGTTCGCGTGGCATAGTTCAAATTTTATCTAAAACAAAGCTTTCAATTTTACTATGCTTTCTTATATTTCACGTATTTATACTTAACAATAATACTAAACTTTAATGATATTTTAAATATAAAAGTGAAGTTATATATGTTATATCTAAATGTTAGGAAAAACTATCTGAAGATAATTATTTAAGAACAACATAAATTTTACATAAAAATATAAATATTATTATGAATGTTCGTAATATTTATGATATTTGTACAAATCGAAAATTTAAGTATTAGGCAAATTATTTTTCTTACCAATTGTAACGAATAAAATATTAATAATTATCATTGTATAACATCATTTTAGATTTAAGAATTATTCTTTTATACAATAATTGAAAATAAACAAATTTTAATAACTAGTATCTTTTATGCAATTAAAATCTATTGTATTTTAATTCTGTGAATAAAACTTTTTTTAAGTTAAAATTTATAGCAAATTCAATGCTATATCGTTTGTTCTCATCTTATAAATTCAAATGATATTTATTAGAATTTATAATTTTTGTTATCTCACGTATGAGAAAGACTGTTTTTATGAGAAATAGAGATAGAGGGAGAGAGAGAGAGAGAGAGAGAGAGAGAGAGAGAGAGAGAGAGTGAAAGATTTTTAATTGTCGAAGTAATAATCATCTACGTATCTAAAAACTGTATTATAAAGATTTCTGATCATTAGCAAAACTTTTATTCTTCGATCTGACACTTAGTTTGAGATTTGAGGTTTATTTGCTATTTACTTTATTCGAAATGTTGTTAAAAGTACTTAAATGAAATAGATATTATACATAAGATAAATATTTATAAATTAAATCAACATTTTTCATATTATTATATTCAATAAAAGTAAAGCTTTTAAGGTTTATTCCGAAAAATGAAATCATATGATATTGAAGTCAATGGTTACAAGTACTTGACGGACAATTTTATCATATAATTTTTACAAACAATTTACTTAGTTTAATTATTCTTAAAATATTGAAAGTATTCAGGCTAAATAAAATAATTATTACAGACAGTATCAAAATCAATTTAATTGAATGAATTTAAAAAAAAAAAAAAAAAAAAAAATGACGATTCAATTACCCAATGCATAAAAAACTGTGAATCATTTATCATATGCGAGCATTTAATCAAAATATTTTATTTTTCGAAAATATGGATTATTTGTACGTTTGATGAAAACAGTAATTAAAATTTATATACATAATATTGATTGATTTAACATTAATTTATTCTATTTATTCTATGATGATAATTTATTCTATGATGATATATATATATATAACTTGATAAATGACTACCAACACTTTATGAATTTTATATATCATATTTTTATGCATTATAGCATATTTTTTATACTTAATAAAACAAATAAATTTATATAATACATTTCAAAGCATTATATGTTTTCAAATAATCAGACAAATAATTAAAAATTATATAGAATTATTATTTACGAAAATGTTCAATATTTTATAATTACTGAAAATTATGATGCAAATTACATATCACAGGATATCTCATAGTTCTAGAGTTATTGTCAAATTATCTTTAAATTAATATGCTCTAATTCACCGAGGCCTTGTACCTTAACTATAATAAATTTAGCCAACAGAATATGATTAAGAAAAACTTTCACTTTACAGATTTAGCTATTAATATCATTAATTTACACTTCTTTTTCCATTTCAACACACCTTCGATATTTATAATTTTAAATGATCATCAATGATGCGTGCACTGTTTTCTTATGTTTACGCGCATTCACGCACTCACCAAACGTCGGGAAAAAGTATCAGAAATCGTATTCCCAAGGTAACGACTCGATCAGAACTGAAAAGCCACCAACGCGACTCTTATTGCCCAAGCGCACTTGCAGTTGTAGTACATATGTAACGTAAGTGAGTGAGCGATATATAGATAAATAGATAGATAGAGAGTGAGAAAGGCATAACCATTCAACAGGAGGTTAGTACGTTGCTCGGTAGCAAATACACGTGAGTCATTGTCAGTGAATGGCTTGTGCTTATTCG